GTGAAAACGGGTCATATTGTGGGAGAAGAACATAAAAGAAAAAAAATCACATAGTACATTTTAAATATGTTAAAAAAATCATAGCAAGAAAGAAAAACCACTTGTGTACCTATCTTGGGGTTCATTTCACTTAACATCCTCTTATATGGTCATATGTACATTGTTTTTAAGCTTTTCTACTTGTCTGGTAAGATTATCCCAGACATATACAAGGTATTACAAATAAGGGAAACCATGGGACCTATGTTTCTTTGGACCTGGCTTATTTCACTTAATATAAATTTTTCCAAGTCTTCCCATTTCCTAACAAATGGGGCAGTGTCATTCTTTCTGATGGAGGCATAGAATTCCATTGTGTGTGTGTGTATGTGTGTGTGTATACATTATATATATATATATATATATATATATATAAACATAGCTGTGCTGGCCTTAGTGTGGCCTTGTTTGTAATCATTTGGGTAAATGCCCAAAAGTGGGATTGCTGGCTCATAGGGGTCAGGGTTCTGAGGAACCTCCATACTGCTTTCTAGAGTGGTTGAATAAGCTTATACTCCCACCAACAATACAGCAGGGGCCCATTTTGGCCACATACCCTCCACCATCTGTTCTTATTAGATTTCTTGATTATAGCCACTCTAACTGGGGTGAGGTAAAATCTCAATGTTGTTTTGATTTGCATTTCTTTTATGGCCAGAGAAATTGAGCATTTCTTCATGTGCCTATTGGCCATTCTTATTTCCTCTTCAGAGAAGTATCTCTTTAAGTTTTAGACCACTTATTAATCAGGCAGCTGTTTCTTTGGGGATTTGTTATTGGTTGATTTAATTTTCTAAGTAAATATATTTTAGATATGAGGCCCTTGTCCATTGTATGGCTAGTGAAGATCTTCTCCCAATCTGTGGGCTTTCTATTGGTCTTGCTAACTATGTCCTTTGCCATGCAGAAGCTCTGCAGCTTCATGAAATCACGTTTGTCCAACCTTTCTTTGATTTGTTGTGTTTCTGGGTCTCTATTAAGAAAATTTCGGCCTGTGCCAAGGAGACCTAGGGTTACTCCTATTTCATCCTGTAATGTTTTCAGGGTATCTGCTTTGACTTCAAAGTCTTTGATCCATTTGGAGTTGTTTCTGGTATAAGGTGATATATAGCTTTAAATCTCTACACGTGTTTAACCAATTTTGCCAGCACCATTTGCTGAAGAGGCTGTCTTTCTTCCAATTGTTTTATGTATTGTTGAGTCTTAACAAAGGTCTTTGGTACATCTAAAATATTGATCCTTCGTATGTTTTGCAAATATTGTTCCTAGTCTGTGCTTCATCTTTTTATCTTAACAGTGTCTATTATAGGATAGACATTTTTAGTTTAAATGAAATCTTTGTGTTAGTCAGAGTTTATCATTGTGAAAAAATACTTGACAGAATAAATTTAGCAGGGGAAAGAACTTATTTTGCCTGAATGTTTCCGAGGATTAAGTTCATTGTGGGCTAGTTCCATTACTTGTGTCAGAGTTGAGGTGAATATCATGGCAATGTAATCTTGTGGAGAAGGAGTCTTCTAGCCTCATGGGAGCCAAGAAGCAGAGATGTTATATGTGCTAGTGGCCCTCTCCTCTTCCCCTGTTTATTCCATTAAAATCTCCAACCAGTAGGATGCTTCCATCCATATTTAGGTTATGAATTTCCCCTTAGTAAGCCCTTTCTGAAAACACTCTCATATACATCCCTCGATCTGTACTTTCCTAATCTTGTAGGTGCTTTTCAGTTTAATCAAGTTGACAAAAGTAAATATTCAATTTTCTTCAACATTTTTTCCCACATATCATGCTTTTGGCTTTATGTTTAAAAACATCACAACCAAACTATCTAGGTTCTGTCCTTTGTTATATTTTAGAAGTTTTATAGTTTTTCATTTTACATTTAGACTTGGGATCCATGTATATGCACTTTTTACATGTGAATATTCAACAATAAAATCTTGATTTTTATATGAAGTGTTGATTTGAAATGTGAACCAACATTTAAGTTTCCTTCCTTCCTCTCTCCTTCTTTCATTCCCTCTTTCTCTTCCTTCCTTCTTTCATTTTTCATTCTCTCCCCACATTGTTAATAGTAGGAGACAACTTCCAAGTCTCCTCTTCTAACACTTATGTCCATAAGCTATATTCGGACCATCTACTCCTTTGTCCTTACTTGGAATGCATGTGCATCTTATCTAATGCCTACCTTACATTTCAGCTACCTTACCTTTCCCATTGCTCTGATCTGGTTCAGGTACTAATTGATATTCAGTTTCATCAAATTCTGAAGACACTTATAATCTGGAAGCTCCATTTAATACTGCCTCTCCTCCTTAGCCAGACTGTAAACTCAAAGAAGACAAGAATTCTCTTTGTCTGATTTATCATAGGTAAAATTACATAATTTCAGACTAGCTGGACTTTATCTTCAGAAGTGGCTACTCCAGATGAACAATCAAGGACCTCCAAAAAGTTAAACACAGCAGTCTTGCCTTGGTAAAAGCAGAATGCCAGAAACTCTAATTTTAATGCCTCATGTAGCTTTATGCTCATGTCAACCAGAGGACACTGATTTCCTTGGGGAATAGGGGAGATTAACCACTGAAATATGGTAATAATCTACTTTGGAAAACAGTAAAAAAGAATGAGTGGAATAAAAAGAGTAGCTTGCCTGGTTAACTATCTTATGCCTAATACATAGTCAAGCTAATGGAAACTGCCATCCCTGGCCTTTGCATTTGGTTTCCTTCTACATCAACTGTTTCCATCCAAGGACTTCTGTACCTTCAAACTGAACAAAGATGGAGAGAATGACTGAGTTTGGTTGTGATGAATCGAAATTACCACAGCAAAGTATGATGGCCAACCTCTCAGGATTAATTTACTTAGAGAAATTACTCTAGCAGGATTGTCTAATTCATGGTATATCTAGACAAATCATAGGTAGGAAAAGCCAGAGCACATGCACCCAGAAACAGACCTTCAACTTCAAAATGGCTGGTGAACTTGTCTGCAGGACTAGGGGCACTGGCATGGTCCTTATTCAGTAATGAGGGAAAAATCTGGTAGGGTGCTGTCCATGGCATTGCTTTTACTAAACTCAGCTTTCCCTAAACTCAAGACTCACATTTACTTGACAGAGACTTGCTCAGCTTTGGGCAGTGATCTTGTTGGAAAACACACCTACACTCTTGGCTACCCCTAATTATCCTCCAAAGAAAAAAAAGTAGAATAATTCCTGTATCATCTTCTCATCCCTGGGGAATTCCTTCCCCCACCCTTTCCCCCCCAAAAATATATCTGTACCATGTAGGATAATCTTTGCGTGTAATCCCTCGTATGTTAGGAACATAAATCATATAAGATATGGTAACTTAAAGAATCTCAAGATCCTCTTCTAGGACCTGTTTAAAAGACATCTCTTCCTTTTACTTAGCTGCCTAAACAACCTCTTGGTACACTCTGTACTCAGTGGTGACTCAGGGTTTCAAGGTACCAGCCACTGAAAACAAATATTAAAGACCACTAGTTGGATTGGTTGGCTAAAATCAGGGGGTATTAAGCAACCTGGGCTAGGAGTTCAACTTTGCCCATGCTGAGCAACAAATAACTCTAACTGCTACATATAGAGATTCAAACCAAACTGAAGAGAGATAGGAAAAATGGAAGAAGAAAATCAACTCTCTTTAAACTCAAGGAAAGCATGTACAGGCAGCCAAAGAGCATCCAGTAAGGCCAGGAGGCCTCTACTAACAAGTTCAGTCACAGAAAATGAATATTCTCGATGCTCATAAGCATGACAAATCAACTCTTCTAAACTGGTCCACTCTGGTGTCAAACAAAAACTATCTATTAAATAATAAGCTAGAAATGTTTAGCACGATTTTAATTGGGCCTCTTTGGTATGCTCAATTTAGGATTTCATCATACACTTGTATTGGAAGTCCAATTTGAAGTCATTTTTCCTCTTCACATCATCTAATATACCTTAGTTACTCATAAAACAAAAATTATTAGGCCCACTGTGGATCTGTAAATATCTGGAAGAGAAGAAACCATGGCAGTCATGGCATGCAAAGGGTCAGGATGTTGCTGACTTCTTTGTATCTCAACTTCATGCTGGTCTCACCAAGTGAACAACTGCCTGCAGATGGTGTGTGGAGGAGCCTCAGCTAGTTTCACTAGAGGAAGGCAGAATCAACTGTTTTTTTCCTGACTCTTTTACAGATGAGAGTCCAGCTGCTCTGGTCATAGCCTCACATTCCTTCTGCACAGGCTCTAGCTGACAAGATTTATGGAGTGGTCTAAAGAAGCATGCTAAACTATGTAGGATTAAGCCACAAGGGAGAACTTTTTGGCCATAGCTGAATAGTGTCTGTGGGGGATTGAACAATTAGTCCCCAAACTGCCTGTTTTGGCTATGGATATTTAAGGCCTAAAATAAAGCAAAATGGGCTTTTCTCTTTTATAATATTTGGTGAGCAATTATAGTCATGCTAAGGGTTGAGAATGGAAAACATGGAGGTTTACCGGAAGCTTTTCTTTATGGAAGTAAAGTAGAATTTGTATTGAATATTCTCAGTATAGAGAGAGAAACTGAGACAATATGATTGAATCAAAACAGACTTGGCTAATAATTTACTGACTTTCTGCAGTCCTTACATGTTGGTAAAACTAAACGAAATTGCTTTTCATGCCCATCAGCCAGCACAGGCAATAGCCATCACCAAAGCCATCTTTTACAGCACAGTAAATCAAAGATTACCCAAGCCAAGAAACAGTATGTTTAGCATAATGACTCCCATTTAAGATGATGATGCTTAAAAAAATGTCCACAACAAAACAGCCAAGCTCTAAGTTTAGGGAGGTTTAAATCATGTTTATGGGACAACGGCCCAAAGTCAAGCAGAGATAGAGAGTAAATTCTAGCAGAATTGCCCATGGAGGCCCTTGTGTAGCAGGGAAGTAGATGTCATACTTACAGTGAGTTGGGTCGGGTGGGCTTAACCACATCCAGGTCGGGGTCACTGGAATTCATGTTGGGTTGTAAGCTGCTACTGGAATTAAGGGTGCTGTTTGCATTCGATGAGACAGATTCCAAACTGGAGTTGATGATACTGTTCCTTTGTTCTTCTAGAAAAAAATATGGCACAGTCTTATATTAAGATTACATAAATATAACCTATTCCTACTCATACAAGAATTATAAATGAAACTAAATTGAGATTTCTAAAGCTTCTAGCAAAAAAAGGACACAAGAAAGGATCAGAATGAAGAGTAGAGAAGGATAAAAAGGAAACAGGTGATAATTTCTTTATTACTCAACCAGTCTAAATTCTTGACCCCTCAGACTTTGGTGTTTTACTAGATCTATATATTTGATAGATAACTTCAAAGTTAATTCTTTCATAAACAGAGCTGTAGAAACTGCACAGTAGTCTGTATATAAAAGCAAAAAATGAGTCCGTGTAGTCACATTCATTTATATCTAGAAAATATTACCAAGCTAGGAAAGAGAAAAACTTGAATTCCTTTCAATGATTCATCTCTGCTCAGCTTTGTGGACTAAATAATTTGTACTAGTTCTAAGATTTTTGGTTAACAAATCTCTAAAATGGGGAGAGCAAGAACTTCCTTGCACAGTTCACAGAGCTGTCATAAGGATCAAGTGGGATCATATTCAGGAATGTGTTTTGTAAACTTTGGAATAGTGCTCAAAGAAATGAATGTTCTGCTTCTTCTCATCTTAAAAAGACTTGGAACCATGTTTTAAGAGAACATTTTGTGGATTATGTAGCTAAATGACATAGGTACCACTGCTGTTGTATAATAATACAGACAATGTCAGTCTCTCCCTCACCACATTCAGTACAGATAAAAGTTACTGAAGTCAGTTGATGTTTCTGGCAATTGTTTCACTTGTCAGGAAATAATTTGGGTGAATTGTAAGAAATTTTTTATGTGAGTCAGAGGTTATACAATAGTCCTAAGAGGCAGGCTAGAATTATTTACATATTAGTTTTTAGACAACATCTCAACTTGTGTCTCTTTAGGTAATAAAAGAGATATTATCATGAAAGTATTTTTTTCTTTCCACTAGTCATATCTGTAAAAACAAGTTATGCTTATGAAACTATTACTATTCATATTACACACACACACATTTCCTACCCCACTAAAATCTTGGCAAATTATTTTTTTCTTCTTTTTAAAAGTTTGTTTGCAGGCTGGGAAAGTGGCTCAGGGGTAAAGTGCTTGCCTCCCAAGCATGAGGCCCTGCGTTCCATTCCTCAGCCTCATATAAACAGAAAAAGCCGGAAATGGTACTGTGGCTCAAGTGGTAGAGTGCTAGCCTTGAGCTGAAGAGCCCAGAGTTCAAGCTCCACAACCAACAGCAACAACAAAAAATTGTTTGCTTTCTGAGACAAGGTCTTGCTATGTAACCTAGGCCAACTTTAAAAGTTGTGATACTTCTGCCTCAGCTCTCAAATGTTAGGATTACAGGCATCTGCCACCATCTGCAGTTAGGTAAAAACAGTCCTGCCGAAAGCCCCAAGGAAGTGATTATAAAAACCCATAAGGTTATTGCGAGATTCCTGAACTCTAAGTAGAGAAAGTAGGTGATTAATTTAGGGATGAAAATAGATTATTAAAATGATTACTGAAATTTAGAATTATGTATAAGAGCTTAAGTTTCAAGTAGAAACAAACAGAGAAAACTTAAGAGTTATACTGAGAGAAGTACTAACAGAAGTTGTCACTAGAGAAAAAACTCTCATACAATTAGGAGCCACTAAGAGAATGCATATGCTACTCATTAGTACATTAATATGAGTAACATTTTCCTTTGCACAAAATACTCATGTCAAGATTCCTAAAGAAACTGAAAAGCCAAAAATCAGCACAGAAAGAATGGTAGTCAAGACCACATTTATTTGACCTTCAACTGGGGACATTGCCTACCTTGTATGGGAGATGAGATGAATGGTTTTACTAATTTTTAATTTCAAAAGATTGAGGCTATCTATGCATGTCACAGATGTCCAAATTTGTAGGAAACATGAGAATACTATAAAATCATATACCTCCTATGATTATAATACTTTTACAAGAGAGAACTATGATCCTACCAACCAAAAAAAAAAAAAAAACGGCTACAAAGTATATTGTTTTTCTAAAATGTGACCAGGACACTTTCTCTTTTCTATTTACTGTTAGAATAAAAGGAATATCTTAAATGAAATCTCCTTAATTCTATTTATGCAGTATATGTTTATTGAGAACCTACTGAGTACCAAACATGATTGCCAGACAGCAGATTCTGACACTAATATCTTGGTATTTAAGATATAAAACAGTTATCAGCTTGCCCATGTTTATTTACCTATATGTCAGATTCTTCACTGGAGTTTGAATAGTTTAAAATAAAACTTTGGAACCAACATTGAACATAAAAAAAAAAAGATGTTTTGCTTTATACTATATCCTGATTTTCATCACATATGATGCTAAAAGCTAGATCAAAAGAAAAGGTTAACTCTACAATATTACAGATTAGGTGATTTCATGAGTTAACAAGGAAAATCTGGAGCAAATGGCAGGGAGATTTTTTTTTGGGGGGGAAATACTAGGGAAAGAGGAAAAAGTCAACAAAATCCAACAGATGGCTACATCCAAACTAACTTTGAACATTTCAAATATTTCATTTCCTGGAGGATATTAGAAATCTTTTTAAATAAGTTCTTTCAGTTCAATACATGTATGTGTATAGATATTTAAGACTTTTCACTGATGCATGACCTGTAACATCACAACAATAAAAAGCAAAAGATCAAGGAAATCAACTAGTTATAAACACAAAAAAGTATCATAAGATTTGAAGGTTTACAGAAAAGGATTGCCAAATGTGCATCCTAGCTTCCTAACCAGTATCTCTTGATGGGATGACACATGATAAAGAAATCCAGATCTTTACCTCAAGACGACCTTATTTTGTCATTATCTGAAATCATAGAAAATGAAACTTGAAACCGTCTAGGTGGAAGATGGAAGCTGAAATGCCTACAGTTTTCCTAGAGGATGAGCAGGAAGGTAAAGGACATTCCTGAGAAGGAGTGGAGAGTAAAGCCAAAAGCAAATCAAATGTTTCAACAGTTATGGCAAAGTATACCAAGACAATTTGTAAAGCATTTGAACAAATTAAGAAATAAACAGAAAATAATTCAATAATGCCATTCAAAAAAGGAGGATATTTTTTTGTCCTATGAGCAAATGAGTACTTGCTCTTGGGAGAAAAACATGAGAATAGGCAGTCTAGAGTACTTTTAACTGAAAATGAACCAAATTCTTCACATCAGAGAAGCTACACTTTTTTTTTTTTCCTGTGGGTCGTAGGGCTTGAACTCTGGGCTTGGGTGCTGTGCTTGCACTCTTCAGCTCAAGGCGAGCGCTCTACAGCTTGAGCCACAGCACCACTTCCAGTCTTCTAGTGGTTTATTAGAGATAAGGGTCTCATGGACTTTCCTGCCCGGGCTGACTTTGAACCGTGATTCTCAGATTTCAGCCTCCTGAGTAGCCAGGATTACTTAAGTCACTGATGATTCAGGTCAGCTCTGCCATCCTCATCAGAAGGTACACAGGGACTGATGGCAATTCCATTGCTGGTGGAAAAAGATTATGGGCTAGTGGACTTTAAAAGAAAAACAACCACCAATTAGGAATCAGATAAAAAAAAGATGATAAATGACAAAAAAAGAGGAAGAACATCTAAACTCAGAATTGCATGTTTACACCTGTTAGAGTCAGAATATTTGCCTTCTCTGAACATGTTTGTCAGCAAAAATAACTCTTTGTATTAGTCCCAGAAAACAAGAACAAATCCCACCATCATAAACATGATCAGTAATTAATGTGCTGGGTGCTTCCATACACATACATCTTAAGGACTGGAAAACCTGATGTAGGCTTGATCCTTAAGGATACAAACTGAAAGAGCAGGCCCATGTTGTCTGGCCATACAGCATCAATTGAAGGAACCTGTGAGACCAGCATTTGTCACACTTTCCTGGTATCTAGTTGTGGTCATGTATGCTACAAGTTATAATAAATAATAAATATATGAAAACAATATATAATCAAACGTTATTCTTGGGATAGATGAGTGAAGAAAGGAAGGGAAGAGAATGCAGTCAGAATAGTCAATGAATATCCTATGAAACTAAGAATATTGAAGGGACAGGTTTGGTTGGGACAGATGGGAGAAAATACTTTTTTTTAAAAAGTTATTCTGTTGGAAAAGAAAGGGCTAGTCTGAATTTTGCAGGTGTTTCAGAAGGACCATTAATGCCTTTGACACCAAAGTAATGATGATAGGAAGCATTTTTTTTTGTGGGTTAAAAAATTCTTTTGTTTAAATCAGGAATGGAAAAAGGTAAATTTCCAACCAAATCACTACAACTAAAAAAGGAAGGCCACAGAATAATTTTGGTAATATTGTACTTATTCTGGGGGTTGCCATGGAAATCTGGGAGCTCAGCTATTTCAATTTCCACATTTACTAAGTGACTGCAACTCACTCTAATGGCAACCCCTCATATAAGGAAGGCAGGATCACTGTTTATCACAGAACCTGCAGGCAGGGGCAGGAAAGCACACACAGAGCCAAACCGAATTCACACTTCTTGGCAGGCCTGAACATGTCTAGCTCATTGAATACAAAGAAGTAGTGGAAAAACACAAAATTCAGGCCCTCAAAATCACTTTAGAAGAGTTTGCACTGTGTGGAAATCTTGTTAGGATTCAGGCTAGTATGTCATCATTCCATGATACCTATGACTAGAAGTCAAAAAAAAAAGGGAACTCGAACTGTTCTTGACTTCTCCCAGAGTCCAAACGACAGGAGGGAGCGCACACAACAAACAAGAAGAAAAGGAGTTACCAGAGATATGGAAGTTTTACAGGGACATGGGTATATATATCACAAGTAACTACCTAGAAGCTTTCTAGTGCTATGGTTGGGAGAGAGGTGTACCTTCTCCTGCTTGTTAAAGTTTTGCAATAAGTCTGTAATGCATCATCTTGACAAGATAGGATGATAATAGCATGGCAGCTTAATGAGTGTTGCAATAAAAATG